ATTTTGTAAAAAAATTTTATTACATACCAGCTCTGCTGCAAAAATATATTTCTTAAATCAAACACGTTTTTCTTTAAAGCGAAAGTAGTTTGATGATCAGCAGGATCACAGTCCTCAACAGAACCTGGACTTTGGTCCTTCTCTGTAGTAAAGTAAGGTGTGTTCACTCACTTTATTAGTGTTTATTGTGAGAACAAAATGTATTACTGAAGGCCCTGTTACACTAGACAACTTATGCCAACTTATGAACATTTTAAAAATGTCTACGTTGAAGATGGAAATGAAAAAATAAAACAGGAAGCTTCTTTTTGGCGTGTACATAATGTAATTCTAACAAATTCATCAAATATATAACTTTTATTAACAATTTAGAAATAAAACAGGACTAATAACCTAATATCTTCTAGTTTTTTGTTTACAGAGAAGCACTAGGCAGGGATGTCCACTGTCCCCCTCACTGTTTGCTATATTTTAACCTTTAGCAGCTGCAATAAGACAAACTGCAGATATTAAAGGCATACAATGTAAGAACATAGAACATAAAATTAGTCTTTACGCTGATCATGTTTTACTTTACCTTAAGCACTCAGAAAACTCCTTATCTAAGGTTATTGAATTAATAAACTCTTTCTCACTAGTTTCTGACTACTCTATAAACTGGTTAAAACCAATAGTTCTTCCAATTAACTGTGTTCTTAACAATTGTCTTAATACACGACTGCAGTCCGGTAATATTACATATTTGGATATTAATATATCTCCTAGACTGGAAGACTTAATAAAATTAAATCACATCCCACTTTTAAAGAAAATTGACAATGATCATAATAGATGGAAAATTCTACCCATATCACTTATGGGAAGAGTTGCATCAATTAAAATGATGGTGATAAGCAGAATAAACTATTTATTCCCAATGATACCAAATAAACCTTAACTTGTCTGGTTTAAATCCCTGGATTCGTTCATCTCTAAATTCTTTGGAACAATAAAACCCCATCCATTAGCCTCAAAACACTACTGAAAACTAAAGATACAGGAGGGCTAGATCTTCCCAACTTTTACCAATACTTTTTAGCCAACAGGCTACCATATATTTCAAAGTGGTTAAATCCTAATCCATTAGATGAATTTTGGCTATACATAGAACAAACTTTATGCCATAACATTAAGATTCCAGATCTTCCATTTATTAGCAATAACATAAAAAAAACATGAGTGCTTTAATGCATCAATATCAGCTCATCTCTGGCAGCTTGGTGGGAATTTCTAAAACTGTCAAAATATTCACAAATCCCATGCAGACAAACACCCATCTGGAACAATCCTGACATACTACAACAGAATAATATGTTCAACTTTTCAGGTTGGACGGGTAAAGGAATTGATTGTTTAGAACATATATATGAAGGTGCAGACTTTATTCCATTTAACAAATTAATAATATAATATGGCATTGACAAGAAATGTTTCTTAGAATATCAA